TAACCCAATTCAAGTTTTGTGCAAAAACGCATGATCGCACCGGCTCGCCTGGTGCGTTCCAGCCCAGGTTAACTTGAAGACCTGGTGGCAGTGACTGCATCCTGGAAATAAACTATTTATCCTGACACCGCTAAATTATCTGCCTAAACGAAATAAAAAATAAAGAAAAGACCAAAGCACACTGTAATAAACAAACGGCAAAGTCGTTTTAATTGTCCAGTGATAATCAACGGGTGAATAGCTTACTTCGCTGCGCCCACAGCAAAAACAGTAGAACCAAACGTAACAAAAAGTAACACCAGCTTTCCTCAGTGACATCAAATGAGTTTCTGCTAAATCACATAGTTCGGAATATGAATCTGTTCACAGAACTGAATTTCCATCCTGATGTCTGAGGACCCGCTCGCGCTCAGTGCTTCTGAAAACGTCCGTAAAAACAAGGCCCAGCAAATCTCTTTCTAAACACGGTATTTATCATGTGCGAGCGATTGAGACGGACCACAGAAGCTGCGAAGGTGCATACTGCATTTCCTCTTTGAAAAACACACCCGCATAGTTTCCTCACTTTATTGCAAGACCGACCTTTTCCCTTTCCCCATTATTAAATAATTCTCATTTTACAGCTGCTTGCATCCCTCTGTTCGTAAGGGGGCTATTGCTTGCCAGTTTTTCCTTTTGTTGCACACTGAGTCAACCCTTCGCGGTTTCACTACGTCTGCACGACGACTCGTTCTTCGCTACTCCACCAACGGTTTCTTCTCCGACCTCTTGACTCGTTGGCTTCTTGCTTTCATAAATAGAAACAGATATCACTTTTCCAAATTTTCCCCTCCTACAAACGCTAATTGCAACCGCTTATATTCTCTGTCCCCTGAAACCCACTTCTTACTTCACGCTACGCGCATGTCGTTTTCTTAACGAACCCTGTTTCTTTTGTTATATTTCCTTTTTTCCAGCATGGCTACTGCTAAAAGAAGTAAAAAAAGCGACGACGCCCCCGAGACAAGCTCTACTAGCCACAACACTCCCCTCTTGAGGTTCGTTTCCTTTTTCATTTTCTTGTCTTTCTCCTTCTCTTTCCTCTTTTCCTTTTTAGTGTTTTTTGTTGTGCTCTACTTCCTGTATAAATACGCCTACTTTTGTTGTGTTGTTCGTTCGTTGGCTAATATAGTGTTGTGGATAAACCGACTTTTCTTCTGCGCCACTTCGACAACCTTGCGTCGTCGTCAACTCAACCCTCGGCGACAATTGGCGCAGCGACAGGATACATATTTTTCTGCTTCTACGACAGGAATTTTGGTCTTCATGGAAGATCAACAAGCCCTGTTGACTATCTTGAAAGCCCTTCAAACCTTGATTGCCAACCAGCCCACGCAGTCCTCATCAAGGCCTTTCTCGCTGAGCCATACACCCTCCTTAATTGCTTCCTTTAAATATGATCCGGAAAATGAAAATACTTTTCCAACCTGGTTCTCCAGGAACTAAAAGCTGCTGGAGGAGGAATGGCTGACCGATGTCGACCGCGTGCAAATTCTGCTAAAAGCGCTGGGCCACAAGAATATGCTCAACTCCGAGGTCAAACATCCCCTGCCACCCCGGAAAGCAAGATTTATACTGAACTGGTTGTACTATTGAAGGAAACTTTTGACCCAACTAAGTCAATCTACAGACGACGACATGATATTCTGATGACCCGACTTCCTTCTGAAAGACCAACTGAAGAAATTGTCAACCTAGCCAATCTTCGCGGCGATGAGTTTTCATTCGGAGACCTTACTCTTGACACTTTCAAAATATTTCTGATGCTGCTATTTTGTTCTGACCTCTTCTACAAAAATATTCGTACTGTTATTCTAAAGGCTGTTGACGACGATAAACCTGATATTACTACTGAAGAAATTAGATGTCTTCTGAAACGATACGAAACCCGAACGGTTGATGCTGAAATCGACAGTAATTCTGCGGCAGTTAAAGAAGAAATTTCTGCCACCCAAGTGAACCTCGTCAGGAAAAAGAAACCTGTACAGAAACTCAATTTCCACGCCAACTCTTCTCCTTCCGCTAAGGAACCCCGAGGAGAATGTTATGGCTGTAACGGTAACCATCTGCGTTCTATATGCAAGTTCCGGACCGCCAAATGCCACAACTGCCAGAAAGTTGGTCATATTGCATCCGTTTGCCGATCGATAAAGTCCAAGCCACATCTTCATTCCGTGCTCGTTAATTGCGTCCTTAGTGGAGTTGACCTTACTAAGGGAGAACATTCGTTACTGCTTCTGTGAACGGTACGCCGATTAAATTTCGTGCTGATAGCGGAGCTGATGTTTCGGTAATCGGTAC